AGGAGATTTTACTCTCTTTCCATCTTGTTTAGATCATGGAATTAAATTATTATTTTTATAGCAACAAAAATCCTCTTTCCTTCAGAAAATCCCCTTTGATTCAATGGGGTTTGAACCAGGCTATCATAGGAAAATTTGCTCTCTGTTCAGTATTGCTGTATTACCATAATCATAGAATCATAGACGGGACCTTAAAGCCCATCCAGTTCCAACCCTCCTCCCATGGGCAGGGACACCTTCCACCAGACCAGCTTTCTCAAAGCCTCCTCCAACCTGGCTTTCATTTATCAATTCCTTGTATTATGAATAATACAGAAGTCAGGAAGCATTAACTGTGTGTTTGGCTCCTCAGAGAGAGAGAGGCAATTGACAGAGACCATGAGAACCCCAAGTCGTGCTAAATTTCAGGTGAATGAGGCTACTGCAGTCTGTGGAAATGTGGTTTACAGGCAATTACAAAATCTGGTCGGTAAGAGATCTCAGCTTCACTTCTAATGTTCTGCCTTGCTGCTCTGACATGCGTGTTTTAGTAGTATCCCACTTTCCACACTTCTACAACTGTATCCAGTTTCACATAATTCTGTACAAGCTCTCTTTTTGCATTCAACAGCTATCTGGACTTGAGTCCAGCAGAGACATAAACTGATGTTCAACCAAATGGATGTCTCCTTTGGTTACAAGGAGTAAATCTCAGTTTGGACAGAAGTCTGTAGGTCTAAGGCCATTTATTCTGTAGCATCAAAATCATGTCCTTTTAAAAATAATTTTACTTTTGTTTTTCATAAATGCAACTAAAAGCCAAAAAAAAAAAATTTCTATAGCCTATTCACAGAGAAAAAGTTTTTTTAAAGTCTTAGGGTGCCAAATAGACACCAAATACAAAAGTAAACTGGTCATAAATCAACAAACTGTCTTTAGCATCAGTTGTAATAGAAAATAAGCTTAATTTCCAAGCTAATAATGATTGTTTGCAATTTTTCACTGTTACTTGTCTTCTTCTTTTATACATGAGATTCATTTTATCTTTTCACACAATCTTATTTTTGAAGCTTAAGAATGCATTGACTAACTGTTGTGAAGTCACTATAGGAAAAGTTCATAATAATTGGATTTAAAATGCATAAATTTACACACATCATTAAAAAAAATCTATGTAGATATAAAAACGGCAACTATTCTGTTAGCATTAAATCTCAGTGCTTCCTGTAAACATGAGTTTATCTCCATATATCCTTGTGCTCTAATTTTTGTACATTTGCCACCAACCTTTAGCATATGCCAAAAATTGATCTATTTCTTTCTTAATATACCTAGAGAGCTATTGAATATAAACCAAACTATTTGAAAAAAGCTTTTCAAAAGGTACTTATCACTTTCAGTTGCCAAAATCTAAACTTTTATTGTTCAGATTTTTCAGCTCCTCAATACTCATTTTATATAGTTCTACTTTGCTAGTTTATTACCTAAAACCAGATCGGCTCATAAATGTATGGGATGTTAAGAAGAAAATTCCCTAAAAGGAGGGATCTCAGATGTTGTAGACATTACTAGAACTTTTATGTATTTGGTTTGAAAGAAAAATTACAATGTCAGGAAAAAAATGGCCCAGTTTTCATATAAGTTTTAAATATAAACCACTGCCCAAAACAACTTTCAGATCATTTCTGAAGAACTCTACAATAGTGGTAGTCTCTGAGTCCAGACCTCAAACTAACCAACCATTCTGTCCCTGCTCCGTTCCTCGAAAGGCACAAAGCAATAAAAGGTGTTTGCATGGCACCTGTTGCTGTGTTATCTGAGACCTTGCACTTTTCACCCTCTGTACGACTGCTATGAAGCTGGGAATGACCCTTTAGCCCTGGATTGCAAAGGGGGCACAGAGGGAGCTAAGGGCAAGATCCACAAGCGGCAACAGAAACGCTTGGCCTCAGCGGTGGCCAGGAGACCACAACCTGGAGCAAGACACCTCAAAGCCAAGGGCAGGCCAGCCTGAGGAAAGGATTCACAACAGCCAGCATTGGAGGCTGCAAGAAAGAGGAACTGCCTAAGTTCAGCCATCAGTTTCCCAGCTGAGCTGGATATTCAACTTGAAGAGCACTCCCTGCTCCAGAACCTGGTTATCCCCTTTGTACTGTTAGATAAAGGTTCACTTTAACCCCTAGATAAAAAGCCTACACAGGATCTTGCCCAGGGACCAAAGTTTGGGTTTTTCTTCTCCCCCCAAAATTACCAGGTTACAATCATGCTATCTTCCTGTCGTAATGAATTTTGAACTTTAAGAAGTAAAGAAGAATAAAGAAGGTAAGAAGAGTAGAGGACGCTGTCCTTAAGGACAAACAGCTAGGTGATGAGGACGCAGACAGTGCAAGTTTGAAAGTCCTCTGAGCAAGGAGCGCTGGGCAACTCCGTCTCCCCGCTGGCACCCTACCGCCATGGTCCTGCGGGTCTCTCCTTCCTCTCCTTCTTCCATGCTGAACCAAGCTGCTGGCCCAGTACCAGCCTTCAGGAGGCATCTGCACCCCTGGGAACCCAGGGAGCTGGGTTATGCTCGCTGACCCACAGCTTGGCAAAGTCAGTGTCCAGGCTTTTGTTTAGGTTCAGTCTGCCGTTGTTCGCTCCACATCATCTGCAAGTGTAGCTGAGGGTAGGGTGAGCACCTCCTGCACGAGGCAGAAGTAGTGGCACAGGCTACAGAGCAGCTGGAGCTGCTTGTTCCTAGCACTGTGGGATATATTATGCCCTTAGATGTACTAGTGTGGGCTCCCATATAAACAATTCTTGATGCTTTTATTTAGAAGGACTCCTTTATCTACTAAGACAACTCACCCTGCTACTTACCGAAACATATTTCCTTGGGACTTTTGGTCAGTGCAAGCGCAGGCTGCCTCCCTGGAAATTCCCTTGCTCCTGAGGTAGCAGCTGACCCTCCCAAGGCCGCTGGGATCCCGCAGGATTGCTTCCCTCAGCCTCCCACTCGGTCCCTGGCCTGATAAATGTCGATAGGCAGCAGCCTTGGGTTTTTTTGCTGTGACTTCATGTGTAGCAGCAATCTATCACACCCAGGGAAGGACACCCAGCTGGCTGCTGAGCTGCTCTCTGGTAGCATTGATGGTCGCAAACTCCAAGGCCAGGTCTACTCTGCGAAGATTTGCTTTTGGAGCTGTTTGCTGGGCTGTAGTGAGAAACCTGGCTGTGCTAGCAAGGCCAGGTAGCGTAGACACAAGGACCTGGGGCGCTCTGCACTCTCCCTTGTGTAGTGACTTTAATCAGAGCAAAAGCAAGTTTTGCTGGGAGGGCTGCATAGGCACTGGGAGATATTGTAGGGAAGATGCACTTGTATGGGCTAGAAAAAGTGTTTCTTCTCTTGATCTGAATCTAAAGGCAACTCAAAAGTTTTCTGTCTTCCTTCAGAAGTTAAATCCCTCAGACTTCCAGTTGGCTTTTGGAAATGAATAGCTTTAGAAAACCAAAATAACAAAGCATTCAACCTTAGGTAAGAGATCTCTAAAACCCACTGACTTTTGGTAATCCCACTTTATGTCCCTAATCTGCAAAATCATTTTTGAAAATAGGGATCAGGCTCTAATAAATCACATAAGTTATTCATCTCACCTTACTTTCACCTTTTGAAATATGTCTGTGTAGTCTGGGACGGTCCTCTGAATTCTCACAAATTAAAGAAATTAGTATTTTCGAGGGAAAGTCATCCTCTCTCTTGCTTCATTTTTCTATCAAGGGGCTCTCAAATTCTAGCTTCGACCAGCCACCCCACTTCTAGCTGTTTAGTTGTAGATGAGAATGAATCATGTCTTTAGACACTTCTAAATTCGAATATTTTCTTTTCACATTCAGCCTCCTCATCCCCTTTCCCTTTCTCATATTCCTTCTGTGGAGAAAGGACAAGCTGCTACAGGAAAGGCAGCATGAACTGAGAAGTGAACCCCCAAACAACTGTCGAATTTCAGCATTCACAGCTCTTTCAGGGAAAGGAAAAACTCCGCCCCTGGCTAAATGAAAAGGGCATACAGAGGAAGGAAATAGCCTCTTCAGAGGGTTGGGGGGCATTTAATTTAGGGAAAACTCCCATGACAAAGTGCTCAAAAATATCTGGCTTGCTGTATAATAAAGGTACTCACAAAAATACAGAGGAGGTGCTGACATCCCATTGCTCTTTTCCAGGGCAGTGGATTGTCCCTTGCCTCAGCTGCTCTGACAACAGGACCTGCGACTGGAGAGAAATAACGTGGCAGCCCCACGGCTGCCAATAGCTAACCAAGCCTGAGCTCCAGCGCTGTGTGGAGGGCAGAAGGGTATGTAACAGATTTTACATTTTAATTTATTTACCTGGATATTTAGTGTCCTGAAGCTTTAAAAACAATTTTATGATTGATGTGTAAGAAAAATCCTTTTTTATTATAACTGGAAAAAGATTCAGATGGAAAATCCACAGGGACGAAATCCAACCATTATCCATAATTTAGCCTCATGTGCAGATAGAGTTGTCTGCTGCCATTTCACATAGAAGCTTAGGTCACACCCGTGGAGTTTCAAGACCTACGGTGTACGTGGTTACCAGTTAGACCTGCAGTGAATATATAAGGACTGTAAATGGAGGATGGATTTGCATTGTTGTCACAATTTGTCTCACGCTTGACATGCAAGTTGGGTTTCTTCTGCTGCATACCTAATGCATGGCATTGCTTGTGCACACTAATCTTACCAAGTCTTCTTGCACATTCTTTTCTTGTAGTGAAGCTTCTAAGGTGATTGCTTGGAAATACAAGGTCTCCTTAATAAGCATGCTATGACTGTAAAACTCTTGAGAGAGAGCTCTGATCTGAGGCTCAGGTACCTTACTGAGGATACAAGTATCCAGAAAGTAAGTAATTAATTGTTATAAAGATTTTTATAGTGTATTGTCTAGGTAAGAAAATAGTAACGACAACTGGCATTTTGATAAAATCCGAGAGCATTTCTATATAGACAAATAAAAAAATTTGCCTTTCAATGAACATTTCATCCTTCTTTTCTGGTCATTTCTTTTCCTGCACAAAGTCCTTCACTGCCATTTGGCTTTATTTCTGCCCATGGTTTTCTCCATTACTATAGAGCTGTGGGTTTTTCCTAACATATTTTTCAAAAAAAACATAGGTTTATATGACAGAGGAGAAGCTTGATTTGCTCCTCATGTACAAAACAAGCACGTCTGGACTGACCACAGCAAAAAGTATAGAAGAATTTGATAGCTTTGCTTTGGTCTTTAATTTTGATAGACATGGGACTGCTCAATAAGCAAACACCCTTTGGTCAGACAATTGAGGGATAGCAGAGGAACAATATACCACTGTGGAAGTGGATTGCCAGGGTATTGCTGGGAGGATTATGCTGACATTCCCACCTCCTGCATCCGACCACTTGCATTCACCGGTGTCAAAAACAGGACAGCGTTTGTTAAGGGTCCGTTAAAACCAAATATCTGAAATGCATGTTTGTGAGCTTGATTTCTTCATTCAAATTCTGCTGTGTTCTGACTCTTTGAGATCACTGATCTATTCTGGCATCAGATGACAGCCAGATCCTATGTGATCTACATTAACATCATGCAAGAAAAATCTTTTTTAAAACTAATTGCACTTGTTTCCCATTCTACATCTTTTGCAAAAGTCTTCCGTCATTGTCTGATAACCTTCACTGCTCTGTAGAAATCTGCTGAATCACTCCTGTTACCTTTGCGCAGATGTCCTTTTAACCGGTTTATTCTTTTAAAGTCATCACTCTAATGCGTGTTCCCCTTTTGGTACATTTCTCCTATATGTTATTTCTCCTCTGATGTTATTTTTGTCATCACTTTGCAGTGGTTTGAACTTGCATTTTTGCTTCTTTCACCAAATAAATAAATGTAAAGCCTGGACCAGTTCCCTCGTATCAGTAGAACTTAAGATCTAAGAGAGATTTTCTTCATACCTAAGTCAGATTAGTAAAAATGGTCCTCTGCTTGGGTGATAAGATCCTGATTCCGCCCGTGATTTAGAATTACTTTACACTGTCTAAGCAATGTAGTAGAAAAAGTATTTTTTTTCAGTTTCTCACTGAAAGAGACTTTCACCTGTCAGTTGTATTGCATTGCGTTATATGCTATTATATATATTTAAACAACCTGGATCTTTTATAAGGGATCTATTGAGTAGCTAGCAAGATATAATTCTTGTGAACAAATACATTTTTATTACACAAGAGATTTTGGTAACCATGTATAAAAATATTTAATTTTTTTATGTATTTTATTTATTTATTAGGAAATATATGTATTTCCTAATTTGTGATATTAGTTTCGAACTATTATACACCTGCACTACAGAGATCACTGACTTCTCAAACTAACGACATCACAGTTTCCATAATAAAATACGCAGAAGGTTTCAATGCTGGAAATGTAAGCAGATTACAGAAAAAGTGTGAGTGCCAAACATAAGGACAAAAATCAACAACCCAAGTGAGGACACTGAGATGATCTAGAATGCTGTTTGATTTATATTGTCATTTACTGAAGTTAGCTAAGAACAACAGAACTCACTCGTATGTCCCCTTCTCAAACTGAGCTCAACTAACGTGTGTCCCCCTGTGTTCTGGGGTTTTTTAATATGCCACCACACTTTGAATATTCGGCTTGTGTAACTTAGATCTCTGGAGTTCAAAATCCTTTACAAAGGAGTCATGTATCATGACCTACATCTGAATTCTTACTCAAAGTTTATTCTGAACTAAGGCAATAAAACCTCCATACACCCGACATAATTACCAGTCCTTCTCAGGAAAGCAGAGGCATGTGTCTGTAGCATCTTTGGGTCAAATGGCATCATACCTTTCATCAAAACACTAACAACCCTCTATGACTGAGTGTTACTTCTGAATACCTTCATAAAAAAGTCAGAATCATGCAAGATTTCACCAGGAATCACAGGTAAAGCAAGTAGCAACATTTGTGATTCACTAGGCTGAAGTCTCTGATTTTTGTCCCGGAAAAAATATAATTTGGTTTCAGGATTCTAATCTGTTTGCCTTACTTCTTACAATTAAAAACATCATTATAAGACATTATGCACAACATGTGTCTGTGATTATGTCTTTTCTTTTAAATAGGAGGTGCTAATCTCTATGCTGCTGTCAAATTCCAACTATGATAAATGCAGACTGTTTTCTTATGCTCCCCTATTAGTTTTATATGAAAAAAGAAAAAAAAACTTCCTTGTCTTTCTACTTTTAATGAATCTGAAGGGAAGCATGCAATGAGTTAACCACTGCTGTGCTGTGTCCCTGATCTAGGTGCACTTCAACAGCTAATGAAATAAAATGTAAAGTGAATTCTCTTTCTGGCCGAAATGCAGCGTATGTAAGATCAACTGTATCTTTAAGTGCAATCATTCTGATTTTCTCATGTTTCATAGAGCAGTAAAATGCAGCATTCAGATATGTCCCTTGCTCATTCCTTTCTTTTATGCATTTGTCAATGTTTCTGAAATATGTTTATGGTCACCCAAACAGAGCACTTCTTTCCTATCTATGTCATAAATAAGCCTTCAAAAGTGATTTCTAATTTGCTTTCTAACTCCAGGCTGCTTTCATGTCTTATATTAAAATGTATTTGTTTTTCAGAGCTCATCTCTAAAATTATCATCTCCTTTCTTTACAAGAAAAATTCATTTTCCCTGGCTATGACTTCCATCATCATTAACTGCTATTTTACTTTGTGTGCATATAAAACTGTGTTTGAGCGAAGTTGTTTCTGTTTGTTGTGGTTCAACCAGGCAGACAGCTAAACACCACGCAGCCATTCGCTCACTCCCCCACAGGGAGAGAATCAGAAAAAAGATAAAACTCATGGGTTGAGATAAAGACAGTTTATTACGACAGAAATGGAAGGGAAAATAATTATAATGATAAAAGAACATACAAAACAAGTGATGCACAATACGATTGCTCACCACCAGCTGACCAATGCACAGCCAGTCCCCGAACAGCAGCCAGCCACTCCCTGGCCAACTCCCCCCAGTTTTATTGTTGAGCATGACATCATACGGTATGGCACATCCCTTTGGTCGGTTGGGGTCAGCTGTCCTGGCTGTGTCCCCTCCCAGCTTCTTGTGCACCCCCAGCCTCCTCGCCAGCAGGGCACTGTGAGCAGCTGAACAGTCCTTGACGTAGGGTAAGCCCTGCTCAGCAACAACTACAACATCAGTGCGTTATCAACGTTATTGTCATCCTCAATCCAAACCGCAGCACTGTACCAGCTACCAGGAAGAAAATTAACTCTGTCCCAGCCGAAACCAGGACACTGTTTCATAAAAAACATAAGACCACCTGTAGTGAAACAACAACACTCAGATTGGTGGAGACATGAGAAAGGATATAGATCCACAAAAACAGTTTGTGAGGCCTTATTTTGCTTTGTGATGTGTTAGCAAGACTAGTCAGTCATATGTTTGTATTTCAGACACAGTAAACAGGAAAATTTTGAAGTGTTGAGGCTAAGGTGATTCTGGCTGAGTAGATTTTCATTCAGGCCACTTTTAGTATCTGCAGTCTCTTTTCTCCTCCATTTTAAACTCTAACTAAGGGTAACAAGGCTATGTTGTTCTTAGGGAGCTCCACATGTATGTCCTAATTGAATCAAAGGAATAGACAATCATAATAAAAATATTATATCTGTATTATATTGGCTCAAGAAAATCCTCTGTAACTGTGGTTAATGAGTTTTTGCTATAAGATTTATACAATTCTATTAAGACATGACGCTTTGATTTTTGTACAAGAGCTTTAAAAAATGAGTGAAGGAAAAGGGGTTCTAACAGGTAATTATTTATCCAATTAGCGGCATATAGAAAGCTGGCCTCAATAGCAAGGGGGATATGTATTTTGTTTATCATTGAGAAATACTACTCAGAGTTTAGTCTTATAATAAAGTACCATTGAGTCATGTGTAATTAAGAACAGGAAATATGAAAAGGCAATATTTGCTGAAGTACTTAAAATTCAGCTGTTAAAACAGGAATTTTAACTTATAATTTCTTAATAATATTTTAGAGTTAAGTAGTGTTTTGGACTTAGAGGTGTTTAAATTTCCTAAGTGTGGTTAATTTATAATGATAGGTCTGGTTAAGAAGTGAATTCCACTATGCTTACACAATCTTTTAAAGCCTTTAAGCTCTAATGGAATTTTTCACACAAAATGTTTGCCACAGAAGACACCAAAAACAACTGTCTGCATGAAAGTGTTGGTTTTTTGTCTGGTAAAATTATAACCTTACGTATGTCTGATCCTTTAGTCATCCTGCAGACAAATGCCCCATTGACCTGAATAGTACATGACTAAGCCTTGTGCCAGACTGTAAAGAAGATGAGATACGGCATATTCTATACACCTGAGCCATCATTTTGCTCATTGTTGTCATAGAACCCAGTACAGAATCGTCCCTAGAGCCCTTGGTTCAAATCATATTAAATACCACATGGCCAAAACTACAGTACGTTCATGCAACTGCATAGAAATAAATGTGGCCATAGGTACCACACATTCAATTACATTGAATGATTATTCTAATTCCTCAAAGCTCTTGGGTTAGTTGAAGGACATAAGTTTTCTTCCTGGGGCTAAACACCACTTATTTTAGCCTTTGAGTCTTTCAAGCATTTGCTGAAAATGAAGCTGACTTGCAAAAGGTGGACTTTCAAAGATACTTTCTGATGGCCTGCATACCACAACGAAATGTGCTTGGCCACCTCTGCACAAAGGCAGTTTGAAGAGCAGATAGGATTACCAACAAATGTCCTATTCTTCCACATCAATTTTTTTTAGGGAGAAGAAAAAGAAGAATTTGTTCATTTTTCCAGGGTTTACACATCTCACAGCATGGTTGAACCAATAGTTAGAAGCAGATTGTTGGATGCAGACAAAGTCTTAATGAATAGGTGCTCTGTGTGTGCAGATTTGCTGGTGATGTGCTATGCATCCACCAGCCTAGGATACATTGGATTACAAGGCATGCACACCTATCTTTCTATCTGCGATCTTCTCTGGACTTAGGGGAGAGCGTTCCCTTCAAAATCCCAGCAGACACAGTCTCCAGAGTGTGACTGCTGATACTCTCCCATGACGACTGCAAACAGACTTCAAAGCTCTCCCTCAGAGCTAGAGGGCAGGGACCATAGGTTTCACATCCTGCAGTCCTAGTTTTAATGACATATCTTTCAATAATGTGGTGATTTCACTGCAAAAGATGTAGCTAGAGTTAAACAGATTTGCTTGATGCCAGTGATACGGTCCTGGTATGGATCATACCTACTTGAGCAGTCAAAGACTTCTCAACTGAAAGCTAATATGGTTGCTATAACTGACTGACATCTTTGAGGATGACCTACACTTTTGGTTGGGCTTTCTGTACAACCACAAGTCCACTTTGGCTCATTTCTCCCTTCCCCACTTACACACTTTGGCTCATTTCTCTCTTCCCCACTTACATCAAGTCTTGACTATTCTCTTAGCAGACCTGTTTCTGAGTGTTCAGGGTTAATTTCCCTAGTGAAACAACCGGTGTTCCTCACCAATGGGATGATGCCATCTGTCTCATTCCTGGCTCATCCTGCTCAGCCACACTTTCTCCTAGGAATAAGTATACATTCCTAGATGGACACTCAGTAGCATTAGCTGTCTGATCTAATTTCCTGACTTCCTGCTTTACCTCCTGATAACAAGCTCACTTAAGAGTAAAAACGGAGATGTTCTGAGACTCAGTCCTTCAGAGATGGGCTGTGTGCAGTCTCATCAGTCTTGTGATAATATTTGAAGAAGTATGCCTGGGCTCTAACAGTTACCTGTTTCATCCAGTTACACTGACTGCTCTAAGGGAATTTCTCTGGCTCCTGTCACCCCCTTCATGTTCTCAGAACAACAGTACTATTCTGAGGCCTACCTGATATTTTCATATGGTGCCCAGCATCATGGCATTTACAGACTTGCCACTTCAAGATGATCATATCTAACTTGTCTCTGCTGGTACTGGTTTTCTAAATGACTGCATATGGTGCCCTCCCATCTGCAGACCTGGCCAGCTAGGTACCCCAGGGCAGACTTGAAAACTCATTCATGGATCCACTGCTTATATGTGTGTGTGCATGTGTAGGTGTAGACATTGTAAAGCCCTACAATGCTAAAGTATTTAATAGTATAAATTGAGGGGGGCGAGGGGAGGGGGGATGTTTTGCTCTAATTTTGCCATAACAAAAAAATGGGAAAGAGCCTGATAAGTCGATCTCAGCCTTTGATGCTCTGCAATGTTTGAGACTTTGGAAATATTTAGAATGATGCTTCACACTTAAATTGCTAGGGAATGTACAGGGTTGGCAAGACAAGTCATCTGTGCATCATGTTCATTGGCCTTGGCCATGGTTCTTCTCTCCTTTTTTTCCATGAAGAGTGTTGTGGTGGTGTTCTGCTATTTGAAATCAGTAGTAGATGAGATTAGACCAAATACAATTAGAAGGAGAAAATACCTATCAGAATCTTAGTCACAGTAGAATGAAGAGTGAGATAAAAATGCCACATCTGCCAAACCAGTGTAATTAACAGCTGAATATGCTCCTTTGCAATTAGAAATCCCCATGTGCAGTGATAACAAAATGGTATCAAATGTTGTTTCAAGTAGAAGAGAAACAATCTAGTATGTTCTGCCAACTGCTGTATGTGTGTAACCTGGTACAGCCTGTTCTGCTAATGATGTGTGGTGTTTTTACAGAAATGTTCTCACCCACATTGCAAGTTAATGATATCCTTGCCCGCTAATATCTGAGAACTGCTTTTTAAACAGATATCCATCTAGATATTATGGTGATGGACTTACGAAATAAGATTAAAGAGACATGGATATAGACAGACTGGAGAGATTAAGAGATTTTGCAAGTTAAAAGAGCTGTTGTTTAAGACCTCAGGTTAACCTACTTTAGAATTAGGACATATTGTAAGCGTGGAGAGTCTCCTAATTGTAAACAATTGTGTGAATGTTTGTGTCTGTCAGAGAGGGAAA